GACAGGTGTGTGTGTGTGTGTGTGTGTGTGTGTCTCTGTCTCTCTCTTAGGTGATTTCTTGCTCTAGTTGTGGACGTTATAGACGAGTGAGTTCAGTGGTTTCCCAGGCACGCTGCGAGCTAGTGCATATGTGATTTATCAGGCATTCTGTTGGAGTAGGTACAACATTACACACCTCCATGACGCACGCCGTTTTCTTCAAAGCCCGACGACTGCGCATCCCGACGCGATCTCTGCCAATTCCGAGCGGTTGCCTGGCGCCCAAGGGACGAGCTCCTAGTGTGCGGCGTTCGCCTAGTGCTTGCTGCTGTGCGCGACCCAATCCGCCGGGCTGTCGCGCAGCTGCGCGAGGAACTGCGATGCGTAAATGCTGGCGGCAACGATGGCAACGTTGCCTCAGCCCGGCTAACGGTCGCAAGCTCGGTGTGCGACCTGGTGGGGGTGTCCATAGCGGCGGAAGTCTTCCTTGTGTCGCGGCCGACTCCCGCGCAAGCGATGGGCCTGCGCAGTTGGCCAAGCACGCCCCCGACGACGGCAAGCTGCTAGTCATCCCCATCCATTCTACCCCTTCCGCCAGGCTACCGCCCCCCACCCGCCCGCTCATCTGCGCCAGATGCCTTCCCATCATCGTCAGTGTTGAAGGCAGCCGATGATCCATCGCTCCATCGGGGATGACGAAGATGGCGCCAGCGCAAGCGAAGGCCATCTTTGCGTCGGAGGGAGGTTACCACCTGATCGAGTTCACCCGGCCACCCTGATATAGCGACGGCCGCGGGTTCGGACCTAGGTTACGGCGCAGCTCTTGGCACAGAGAGCAAGTCCGCAGCCCGGGCGCTACCGACTACCGGTAGGTAGGCAAAGGCAAACTTAGCAGCAACTCGGATCTCGTTGAGTGATGACTTCCACTTCCACTGCAACAGTACGATGCGAGAGTGGTATGGAGAGCAGGATCGGATGTTGATTTGTACAATCCCGACGACAAGATATAGGATCGTGGAGATTCATGCGATCTGCGCCCTCCATGTACAACAAGCACCTTCAAAATTGGCTATGGCGGACATGGACAGTCAGGGAATCTGCCCGTGGACAGTGGTCAAGGCCCGACGAGACACGTGTTCCGACGACGACCTCTTCTTGCCTTCGCAAACGACTCCCCTTGTTGTTGCCGACGAGCGAGCTGGGGTAGCGAGCTTGTCACAGAGACAGGAGCAAAACGGGCAGACCAAGTGCGCGGGCTAATGAAGTAAAGACTGAAATTTTGCCCTTACGAAGAGAGGCAGCGCTGGCGCCGTTGGCTCTGGCCCCAGGCGACGACGAGAACTACAGGGGACGAGCGATAGACGAGCGAGTTTCAGCGCCTGCCCTGAACGACAGCATGCTACATGGACAAGTACAGCCAAAAATGGAGCTCCCCACAATAAATGGGGCCATCATTATCATTACTACCAGTAGTACTTGACTTTTTTTACTATTCCACCAGCTGCCACTTCTAACTGTGAAGGGGGAGGAGGGCGAACAAGGAGAGCAGAACTCTCCCACTGGCATGTGTTCACCCCCGGTAAAATCGATGGCAATCTTTGCAGTCAGTAAATATTTAAAAAATTTGTCGGACTCTTTTGTCACCCTTGGATCGCGAGCGGCGACGAAAGCACAGCCAAGTGAGGTGCACAGAGGAGACTGCGGTGGGCAGCAAGCCAGCCAGCCAGCTAGTTAGTCGGCCGGCCGGCCGAAGACACTCCAGAGTCCAAACCATTCAGAGCACTGGGTTGATCTCCCGCCAGTACGATGTCCCGGGGCAAGGTCCCACTTGCACGGATTAAGAGATTATAGCCGTTGATCTCTGCTATCTACGGTCAATATCGCATAATTCGTGTAAGTGGGACCTAGCCCCCGAGGAGAATCGTCATGCAGGGAGGGCATGTGGGACCCGGCTGCGTGCCATGTCCCCCCATTGAGAGCTGGGAGCAAAGTACAGCGAAGTGACTACCACGTTTTCGAGCAGGGTGTCTGTGCCATCCGATCTGAAAATCGCATTGGCCATACGAAGGCCTCGTTGAGTAATGATCGAGAGCTAATCTAACCCTCCAGCTGGTGGAATGTGGCCCTCGGGGCCAGGTCGTAATTACAGGCATCAAGAGATACGGACTGTAGATATGGCAGATCGACAGCTGATACCTCTTAATCGGCGCAACCCTACCTACCTTCCCCCGAATAGAACGTACGGTCATATAGCTGGATTCAGGGAAAGTTGCAAACTTTCAGCCTATATACAGTGAACATGACCGTGCGTTCTATTCGGGGACGAAGGGTCGAGTAGGACATGATTCCCGCCGTAGGCGGTGGGCAGTGGGCGAGGTGGCCGATGGGCGGGCCACAGACAGGTCACGCCTGATGAGCGCGGTGTTCATCGGCGGGGAGAAGTTTATTCTTTTGTGCCCTTTTTGGCGTTCGTGGCACTTTCAAATTGGCGCTCGCTTACGAGGAACTGGCGCTGCGTGGATAGGCGTGGCCTTCTGTTTTCCCGATAAGGAGCGGGGATTCCTTTTCAGGGCGCGTTTTCGCGGTTGGCTGCGCCGCTTTTGGGCAGCCGCGGGATGTTGGCGGTGCCACTAGTGGTAGGCTCATGCAACGTGGCCATCTTGGCTGGTGTGGCTGGCGGCGCGTCGAATCTCGCGATCGAATCGCGGAAGAGCAGAGCCCAGTCAGCCAGCCTCAGTGCAGCTGCAACGAGCTACGCTATCGCTCGCTGTGGCGCTCGCAGCTTCAGGCAACGCCAAGGAGGAGCGAAAATGCGGCTGCGCGCGGGTGGGCCAATTCGCGCACAAGAGCGAATGAATCGTGCCACGAAATGGCCCAAGTACCTTGCACGCAAGAACAACGCTTTTGGACGCCGGTGGCCCTGCTGGCAATCCAGTGGCGCGACGAGGAAAAACACGCACACGAGCAGAGTCGCTGGACACCGCCAGGGCAGGTGAACGCCATGAGGACACATGCTCACACAAACACTTTTTTGTAAATGTATTTGACGGCAATTCGGCCAGACGTGGATACCTTTGACCCCAATCACGGCCACAGCTCAGTCGAAAAGTCCTCGTCAGAGCATGCACATACAATCAACAGAACCCATTGACAGGACTGGCCTCCCAGCACCGAGGAAAGGTCGTGGTCACACAAAAAATGCTCCGCCTCCAACACTGCACGTTTGCCAGCCTACCGTACCACCAGTAACTTTCCCATATGTCCGCCCGAACCAAAAGGGGGTAGCCGATTTAATTTATCATCGGCGGGCCTCCCCTGCGCCTTACCCGGTGTATGTTAGATTTCAAGAGGGGAACAGTACTGGTGGCCCAGATATGAAGTCCGAGCCTCGAGATAGACCACTGGATCCCCCGATTGGCATTTAGCAGAGTCTGCTGATGTTCATACGGGAGGGGACCTGAGGGGAGGCACAGGGATTGGTCCTGTTGGCATGG